CATGGATGTGTGGCTGTTGTAATAGATAATGGTTTGAAATTGTTAATCGGACAGCCGAGTTCCAGCTCCAGCCGAGTTGCGTGCAAATCCACCTCTTCTCCCACAAGCTATGGGTTAATTTGTAAGACTTGTATCACTAAACCATTATTATCTCACTCCACCCCAAATTCTTAAAAATATTTTCTGGCTTTAAATAACCGGCAAAGGGTTGATATGCCAGAAAAATGAATCAATCAAAAAATCAACCATTAGCGGTGCCGTCCAATTATTTCCGAGATGGGTTACCTAAAACTTAAAATCCACAAGCTCGAAGATCACCATTAGCCAACATGGTAGATTTGCTAAAAAGAGATAAAATTTCAGAGAAGCTTTATTTAGTAATGGGTTAATCAAGGAGAGTAAGTCCCTTTGACTCGAAGTACGCGAGTAACGTTTGAAAAGTTTTTAATATTTGAAAATGGCACGTTACTTACTATTTTTTGAGACACGGGTCCCTTTAGTCACGGATCCCTATAAAGAACTAGATCTTCATAGACTGACAAGCAGATACTCACAGATATCTTTCACGACACTTATACGCGCATTTCTTTATACTGCACCCTCATGCACTCTGCCCGTGCATCACTTTTCAGCCAGCTACGCTTGAAAGAAATTGTGATCAATTAATCCTTATCACTATATAAGAAGATAATCAAGCCGTGATTAACCGTGGAAAATGAGAATTATCAGTTCCTCTAATGGAGGGACAAAAGATGGCGGTCGTGCAGAGAATGATGACATATGTTTAAATTGTAAAGATGGACCCAACAACAAATCAAGAGGCGCCTAATGGTCAGCACTGCAAGGACTGGAAGAGACTCGTGACGACAGAGTTATGGTTCTACAGAAGGATAATAAGGATATCATGAAAAGTTCATGTGAGCAACGATGAGGTCTTAGAGCGACAGCAAACAAGAAGGAGGCTTATACTTAACATCAGGAAGAGGTAGTTGAAGTTTCTGACACACATAATGAGGAAGAAGGGCCTGGAGACTCTGATACTCATGGGTCGAATAGAAGGAAAGAGAGACAAGGAAAAAACAACGCATGATATAACTGGCAGACTTAAAAAAGTGGATGACAAAACGTGGTCTAGGGGAGATAGCAGAGGGAAGGAACTTGTTTAGAGCTGCAAGGGATAGAAGGAGGTGGAGAGCCATGATCGCCTATGTCCTGAAAGGACATAAAAAGAAAAGAAAGCGACAGGGTACATTTCCTTTTATCAGGTCATTCCATAAGTTCTGTCCGAATTTTAACTTTTTGTTAAAATGAAAGAAATTTAAAGAGTATTTTATAATGTCTAATGGAGCTGAACATTATTTTTATGTTTAGATACATTTAAACTGATCAAATTTTATATCAGAGAACAATAAAATTAAATTTTGTTTGATTAAAAGCCAAAAGCAATTAGAGCGTTTGAACCAAGCTTTGAGGAAAAAAAGACCTGCTCTAGTGAATCGAAAAGAGGTGATGTTTCATCAGGGCAATGCGCGACGCCACACAGCAAGAATCACGTCACAAAAGATCGAAGGACTTGGTTGGGAGAAAATTCCTCATCCACCTTATTCTCCCAATCTTACTCCTTCAGACTACCATTTGTTTCGTAGCTTACAGAATCATTTGGAAGAAACAGCTTTTGTAACACAGGAAGAGGTTAAAACTGACATTTGTGAGTTGTTCGAATCAAAGCCAAAAGAATTTTACAGTAATGGAATTAGTAAGCTTGTTAATAGATGGAAGGAAGTCATAGATAATCAGGGAAAATACACTGTTGATTGAATCTGTAATTAGATGTAAGATTTGGTCACCTTTTTTCTTTATTCAAAATTCGGACAGAACTTATGGGATGACCTGATAGTAAGCTTGTTAATAGATGGAAGAAAGTCATAGATAATCAGGGAAAATACATTGTTGATTGAATCTGTAATTAAATGTAACATTTGGTCACTTGTTTTCTTTATTCAAAATTCGGACAGAACTTATGGGATGACCTGATAGTAAGCTTGTTATTAGATGGAAGGAAGTCATAGATAATCAGGGAAAATACATTGATGATTGAATCTGTAATTAAATGTAACATTTAGTCACTTGTTTTCTTTATTCAAAATTCGGACAGAACTTATGGGATGACCTGATATTTCTTTAATTAGGAAAACTATTGACTGGGACAAGCGCTGTATAGCGAATATAAATGCTAATTTTTATCTGATCCTTACACCCTCCCACCACGGAACAAGTCTATGGATCTCCTAGGGGTCCATGGATCCCAGGTTAAGAAATTCTTTGAATTCCAGAGGATTGTCGCGAACTTTTAGCCGATAGTGTAACTGCTAGAAACAAGAATATGGAGGAATTTTCGAGAGTCCAAGCAAATGTTTCACTTGCACCTATGGTGGGTGTTTCTCGTTCTGTGTTACAACTGACATGAGTGCTGGGTGGCGAATAAATAAATAAGAATAAGCGTTCGATATTGAATCGATAAATAAATGAAGGTTTTCCTTCCTAGAGACACAGGTCCACTCGAGAAAAACGAAATACAGGTTTACAAATTTGAAGAGCCAACGACAAGTTTGAATTATGAAACAACAAAACAGACAGGCACTTCAATCGAAGCACTTGTTATGGCCTTTTAGATAAGATGATTTCAAATATATCAAAGAAATAGACACATCCCATGGAGCTGTCATTTTCTGCATTGTATCTATGTCTAAATATTCCGTGTGTATATGTCATCTTAATACATAAGTGAGTATTATATAACACAAAAATATACATACATACATATATTCTCCATGATTTTCTCACGTACATTCGTATCTGCCCGATGCGTATCCAAATTACAATTCTCCATGATTTTCTCTCGTACATTCATGTCTGCTCGATGCGTATCCAAATGTAAACAAATGACGTCACACATTATGAAATGGACAAAGTCCGACAATTATTTTAATACATTTTTTATGTTTATACGTTTTTTTTATAGATACAAATATTTAGATAAATGCTCTGTTTATAATAAACAGTATTAACGACATTTTCCGACCTGAATGTCCAAGAAATTTTCATAGAAAATATTCGTCCTCTTCATGTAACATGGATGTGTGGCTGTTTGTAATAGATAATGGTTTGAAATTATTAATCGGAGAGCTGAGTTCCAGTCGAGTTCGTTATATTTATTTACGCGCAAATCCACCTGTTCTCCCACCACCTATGGGTTAATTTGTAAGACTTGTTACATCGAATATATATATATATATATATATATATATATATATATATATATATATATGCGTCCAAAAATTATTCCAAAAATTTCCCTTGAAGATGAAACAGAGCTTGATACCTTAATTCAATTTAATTCTAATAATTAAATTGAAGTTTTTAGCTCCTGTTTTTGAAACATGAGAACTCTTATGTAGCGCAGGAATCATATTTAAAAAAAAATAATTATAATTTAGGCTCCACTTTTGTATGAAGCACTGTTTTTTTTTTATAAATAAAAACAAAAATACTTAAGAACTTCGGATTATTTACCCAACGAGTTCTTTCCAATTTTCTATATATTTTCACACACACACACACACACACACACACACACACACACACACACACACACACACACACACACATATATATATATATATATATATATATATATTTGATGTAATATACGGTTTATATAATTATGAGATTGTAAATTTGTCAGCGTCAGCTCTTGTGCTATTTTGCCGTATATTTACCTTTAATTTCATATGGGTAACTGAACTTACGTATTGATAGTGTTACGGTACTCGACGACATAAATGAAATCGGGGATTCAAGTTCAAATTCCCGCTAAGTCTGTTGCGTTCATTTTTGCACAGAAAAAAAATCGGAATGATATGAACCCACGTGCTGGTGATCTCATGGATAGTCGCTCGGAAATAAGAAAATCGCGGGGCCGCGTTCAAATTCCAGTCGAGTTCATTTGATCCACTTACGCGCAAATACTCTTAGGAAAGGTATAAATCCATCTTTTCTTGCACCCCTCCCTTATCTAAATATCAGGGTAGACTGTGCTCTAATTTTGATTGCCAAACAACCAAGGAGAAAGACAATTATAAATTCAAAACCGGTTGGGAATAGGGTCAGCAAATTTATACCTTAAAAACCTAGTTGATACGAGAACCAAAGCACTAAGCCCTAGTATTGTTGAGAGATCAAGCTCCAAACTCCACAGTGTATTCCACGGGATTTGAATGAGTGAGTGATTTGAGTGAGTAATTTGAGTGAGTAACTGATTGAAAGAATGAGTGAGTGAATGCGTGTGATGCAACCATCTCTTCCTCCTATCAACTATGGCTTAAATAGCAGAGTAGACTGTTCTCTGTAGCCTTGATAGCCGGTCTAAAGAATATTCAGAAACCGCAGAGAAAGCAAAAGGAAAGTCATACAATTGGAGTTCATTACAACTGAATGTGGTCAGATTGTGAGTAGTCGACAGAAAACGTACTTGATAGTATATTTTAGAAACATTGCAGCAACGTCATATTTTAGCTGGGATAGATATGAATTTGCGTTTTAAGCAGCTGAAGGCCCATTACACACACACGCACATATGAAAAGCATTTTGTATATACATAGGAAGGAATGTCAAGTGCCATTTTTGTGTTTTCACGGGTTCTGAATATTTATCGAAAATTACAAAGGAAAATTGGAGTCACTTAGAACTGAAATTGGTCTCATTTGCTTTTTTATTGACGGTAATAATATTTTAAATATTTCTTTTATTCTTTTATCCATACAGAAATGTCTTTCAGTTTGTCAATACATGCTTCCTATATCTTATAAATTTATCAAAGTGGCATTATTTATCGCATGTCTGTTCATATCTATGTACTTCAAAACATACTGGGAATGAAATAAAAGTACTTGCTTTTTTTACACTATAATGATTTATTTTTCCTAATAGTTTTCTTTGT